ACTTAAGTAAGAAATAGGAATTTGCAATCCATATTACTCATTACTTGATCTTTTGGTATCATAGAAGTTTTCATTAAGGGACTTGAGTTTTTTGAAGGCAAATGTTTCCAGAACTTTCTTTCCAATTACCTATGACATTATCAGAACACGTGAATATGATCAATAGGAGCTTGTTTGCATTTCAAAAATTAACATGTTTTGTGTCAGCCAATCATCTTAGTGAGGATTTGTGCTATCCAAAATTCAAGGTCAAACTGAAGTAAGCAAAATTCCGCAGAAAACTATAAAAGTGAAGGTTTTAAGAGGACCAAGATAGTCAAAAAGAAAGAAAATAAGTCTTTTTATTGTAGAAAACCTCTATAATCTCTCACTTCAAAGGTTAAATAGACCTTTAGGTACTTCATATTCGGTTCTTCTTCCTTTGAAAACTTTTTTGCTATTGATATAAAAGGTGTTACTTGACATTTATTGGTTACTAAAAGTCAAGTTTTTGAGTGAAGAGATTTGTAAACAAAAAGAAAAGAGTAGAGATGACTCTTGAAGTCATACTTTAAGTTGTTTTAAGAAAAGTATTAAAACTTATTAGCAAAAAAGTGTAAAAACTTCTTGCGAATATTTTTTTTGTGTATAGTCAGAGAATCAGTGGAAAGAGTTTAAAATAAATAAGAAGTATTATAAAAATTATTAAAAAATAAATTTAATATAAAAACAAATAAATAATTTTTAAGCTATAAATAAAAATTTGAATTATTTATAATAATAACCTATTGATTAATTAAAGATTAATTTAAATTAATAAAGAAATAAAATATTATTTTTTGAGTTGTATTTAAAGAAATGGCTTTTTAATAATAGATAAGTTAATTATAAATATTTAATATATTGTATATATTATAAAGATTTATATTATTAACTTTGCTATAAGCTAAAAAAAATTTTTTTTTAAAAATAAATTTGAAATATTATTTTTATTACAAATATATTTTAGTTATAAAAAATCTTTTTTTTTTATTAAAATTAATATTATTTATAAAATAATTTTATATTTTATTGTAAAAAATTATATTATTACAGTAATTAATAATATTTTTGAAAAATTACTTTTTTTGCAAATAATTTATAACCAAATTAGATTAAATATTTATTAATCATAAAAATATAAAAATATATATTTATTTAAATAATATAATATATATTATATTTAAAAATTATATCAAGTTTAATTAGTTTATTATAAGTATAAGAATTTTTAGATTTAATTTTAAAAATAATTTGTTATTTTATAATAAATATTAAATAAAAACTTTTTTAATTTTTATGTTATAATTAACAAATTACTAATATTATAATTAATATTATAACTAGTATTACTTGATTTACTTTTTTTTTTTTTTATTAAACCACAACTGGTATTAGATGCAAGCTCTTTATTGATAATTAAATCTTAAATGTTACATCAATCATTTCATATATATACATGCAGATTAATGATAACCTATCGTGATTTGTTCTAGGCAAACCTGCTTGAAACCTTCCTGTAAATGGGTACGCCTGACTAGAGGCCAGATAGTTGATAACAGTCATCAACAATGATGTTGGTATAGTTAGCTAATTCTGTTAATAAGTGACTATTATGCTAACTTATACACTAGTATCAAATTCTCAAGGATTATTTTAACCATCCAGATACCCTGATACTTTTCACTTGAATTTCAGAAAGGATTTCTATCTTCTTTGTCACCATCTGTGGCATCACAGACAAGTTCTGTTTGACAGATTCTTCATTTAAGCAAGTATCGGATTGGGATATTCCAAGTTAAAGTGGTTAGATTCTAGAGTCTACTGATACAGTTTTGGGATAAGGAATGTTTAGATGATTGTTGCAGTCCTAAAAGTGGGGTCCCAGAATCTGCTGATACAGTTTGGGGTTAGTATTATGTTCAGATGATTACCGTAGTCCTAAAAATGGGATCCTGGAGTTTGCATCCTATCCAGTTTAAGGAGGGTTAGGTCGGGTGTAATTCATGTAACCAGACCAGAGGCCTTTCTTCATGCAATCCTCATAGTAGATCCTTTTCAGCCCAGCGATTAATAGTGAGGCCAGAAGTCCCATCCTTGTGCAACTTGATTATTTTTTCTCATATGGCCCTTGTGTGATATTGAACTCTGGACTTTGTGATTGTGACCTGGGAGCACTACCACTGTACTATTGACTCACAGGTCTTTACTTGATTTACTTTTATTATTATTAATTATAAAACTTATTTATCATAATTTAATTAATTAATTATTTTTTTTTTAAACTAGTTCAATTAATGGGACGAATCTTTATTGAGATATTAACAATATATTTTCAAATTATATAAGTGATTCATATAACCTTTTAAACTATTTATTCTAGTAAAATTCTTTAATTTTACTATATATTGATATCATTTTTGTTAGTTGCCCTGCTTTGCCTAGATCTATAGCATTCTAAAGATCTACTATAGACTTTTTTATTTTAATTTTCAACGGACTTGTTATGTTTGTTTTTTAGTATGAGCTTGTTGCCGCTTGATAATAGTAGGTATCGTAGATAATTCTTATTGTGTATAGTTCTTAAAGAGCTAATCTTAATCTTGACTATTCCATATATAGCAATTATGTAATGATATCCAGGCAGTTCAATAGTGTGCTATGCTGATAATATATAGTTTCCTATTATGATTATTTTTAACTACTCTCCAGATATGATCTACAGTGATATTTCTTAGTTAAACAAGGCCTTAGGTCTCTCTCAAATATATTTACCCACTGCGATTTCTATCATGATACTAATACTAATTACTAGTCTTGTTGCAAACTGTTGTTTCTAATAGGCATTGATTTCATGATTCATAGAATCTCTTATTAATTTAAGTTTGTTACAGTCTGATATGTTTTTGACTGGTATAAATAACTGAAGTCTTCCAAATTTCCCATAAGTGTGTTTCTCAAAAAGAGACAAATGTTCATATTTTCTATTGGAAGTATGGATCAATTAGAATTGATTTCTAACTTTCTTTAGTATCTTTATATACAGTATTTTGAATAGTGAGGATCTTCTTTTTTTCCTAGTGTTAAAACTGATCAGAACCTATACGATCTGTTTTATTATACTGTGATTAAACAATGAGTTTCTATAGGTTGTTTATATTCAAGTATACATGTAATTAATTAGTATGCATTTATATACAATGTAATCTATAATACAAATACTGTTCTAAAGTAGAATTGAACCATGTAACTTGCAAATGGTGATCTGAGAGCATATCCATTGCACTATTGATTCACTGGTCTTTAATTTTTTATTTATATTATTTATTGAAACTTTATTTATTAAAAATATTTTATATTAAAGTAATTGATAAATTTTATTGTTACAGTTTAATTGAATTAAGAGAAAATTTATTATTATAACTTTGTTTAATTAAAATAATAGAAATAAAAAAATTTTAATTTGAATAAACATTGTTATTTTATTATTTGAGAACTTATTATTTATATTTTATTAATTTTATAACTTATTTTAAAAATAATAAAAGATAATAGTTACTTTATTATTGATTTTTTTTTTTTGAAACTTTCTTACTATTGATAAAAAAAAGTAATTTTTAATTTTTTGATTATTAAAAATCAAGTTTATATTTAAAAAGTATTGCAAATAAAAAAGAGAAAATAATAATTTTTAAAAATATCTTTCAAGTTAATTTAAAAAAAGTATAGTATAGAAACTTTATTAATAAAGAAATTATTAAAAATTTTGCAAATATCCTTGTGAAAAGTATTAAATATTTTTTAAAATTTATATACAGTAATATTATTAAGATTAATATACCATATCTATAATTATTTAAATTAATATTTTTGTTATTTATATAATTAAAATTATTTAATGAGTTATGGTTATTTTATTTTATTTTTTTAACCTACTGTTAGGTTAGTTATATATGCTTTATTAAACATAATGTAAGTTATATTATTTACAATGTTACTAAAGTTAAAATGCTAACTAACTCACTTATCTTAATTTATTGTTAAACTCTAAGTGCAACTTTGAAAGTGATTTGTCACTCCATTTATAGTTTGGGTGAATACCCTTCTACTATGAACAGCATTGCCCGCAATTTACTACTACAGATATTTTATTTTATTTTTATGAAATAAACTATATTAATTATATTATAAGAAAGTGTAGTTTTAAAAAACTAAAAAAAATAACAATTTTAATTTAGATTTTATTTTATCTATCTTAATAATTTTATTTAAATATAGTTATTCAAATAAATAGATTAAAAATCTTTACCAAATGCATAAATTTAACAAATTAATTTTGTTATAACAATAGTTACAATAAGGTTTTGACAATATATATTGTAATGGAACAATTGATAACCTTAAAAATCACGAGTGTTCTAACCGCGGTCGTCATATGATAGCCATATGACTATATTGTGTTTTAAAGAAGCTTTTTTATATATACTGTATATATATATAAATATGCCAACACTGAATATGGCAATCGGGTGACTATTGATGATTCAGTCCAAGTTAAGAAGGTTATGCAGACGCTGCCATCCGATAGCATGTGTTCTTATTCGAGGGTTAAAATGTTCGCTGAATTTTTGCTACATTAAAGTAACTATGACTGAAACATGCACTTTCCAAATATACAGGTCCGAAAGCTCATTTATATATAATTATGGTTTAGGCCATTTGATGTTCACAGAGTGGAAAACCACATGATTTTAATGTTTCCTAATTGATATACACCGATACATTTTATAATTCACCTGGGGATTAATTAGTACAGAAAATATATCGGGTTGGCACTTTCTTATGCATCAAATTTAAAGAGCCCCGCTATTGATGATTTCTGACAATATCCCGTTTTATTTGTTGCCTCCTCCTTTTTTGTTCCCCGCCGAATAGTCACAAATTTTACAATTTTAATTATTTCAGACGTCAAATATCAAACAATGTACCCAAAAAACGTTGGAATTTTGGCCATTGAGATATATTTTCCGAAGAGAGTAAGTAGTACCTCGAAAGTCTATGCTTATATCCATTGACGCGACATTTCGAATTCTTTTATGACTTCGCTAATAACACTTGCGGGGACAGTATGTTGACCAAAATAGGCTCGAAGAGTATGATGGCGTATCAACTGGAAAATACACTATAGGGTTGGGTCAAACAAAAATGGGATTTTGTGATGACCGCGAAGGTGAAGTGTAAATAAATATCTTTGGTCGTTATCGCCTGGTAATACCTAAAATATCCTGATGATTTATTTTATTGATTCGCCAGATATCCATTCTATCACTTTGACCGGTATTTTTTCTTTTTCTTTCAATCTTATTTTCGTTGTTCACAGCAAAGTTAATGCGATTGTGATTCCCATTCTTTTAGCTGTCCAAAATCTTATTGAAAAGTATAAAATTTCATATAGAGACATTGGTCGCCTTGAAGTTGGCACCGAGACCATCAGTAAAGTTTATGATCCTTTTTCTTTCACACTATCTTCTTATGTAACATTAATCGCACACAATGTTCTCGTTATACAGTTGATAAGTCGAAATCTGTCAAGACATTATTAATGCAACTTTTTGAGGAATCCGGAAATACCGATGTTGAGGGCATCGACACCACAAATGCGTGCTATGGAGGTGACACCGAGCGTTCATTTTTTCTTCATTTTTTTTTCCTTTGATAAATCAAAAACTTTGCGTCTGATCACTCCTTTTGTTCACTGCATAAAGGCACCAGTGCTCTTTTAAACTCCTTGAATTGGATAGAATCATCATCATGGGATGGCCGCTATGCTCTGGTTGTTGCCGGCGACATAGCTATTTATGATTCCGGTCCAGCGCGCCCTACCGGCGGTGCGGGATGTGTCGCCATGCTACTTGGAAAGGATGCGCCCATTGTATTCGATCGTGGTAATTATAATACACTTTTTCATCTGCAGTGAAATATTCCAAAAAAAAATTTTTTTTCTAACGCCCAATGCAATCAATCATTGTGCAAAACATAGGTCTTCGCGCAACTCACATGGAAAATGCTTGGGACTTTTGTATGCGTAATTGATTTGCTGCGAATGATTTAACATGAGCCAAGGGAGAACATGTGAATTGATGCATTCTTGTCTTCTTCGTTATTATTACAATCAGATAAGCCCAATATGTCTTCCGAGTTTCCTGAAGTTGACGGGCATTTCTCTAATATCTGTTATCTGAGATCGCTGGATATATGCTATAATCGCTATCTGGAGAAGCTGGCCGCGAAGGTGAATGAGAAAACCGCAAGAACCACGCGGTGTCATTGTTTGTTTCTTTACGAAATTTTATTTATTTATTCTTTTATTTATTTTCAAAAAAAAAAAAAAGGAAAATGTCAAAAATCCGAGCCTGAAATCATTCGATTATTTCCTTTTTCACGCGCCATATTGCAAGCTTGTTCAAAAATCCTTTGCTCGGTTGTATTATAATGACTTCATCCGCAATCCAGATAATCCAGCCTTCGATTGTGTTCAAAAATTCCGGGTATTTATATGTCTATTAAAAATATATCAGCTTTCAAAATTGTTTGATTAAGATAATCCGTTCACTAAGTAGAACCTGGGTACCGAGGAAGCTTTACTATCAAAAGATCTTGAGAAGGCTTTTACAGCAATTTCAAAGGTCGACTACATTAAGAAAGTGAAACCCACCCTTCTGGTCTCAACAAATGTTGGAAATATGTACTGCGCCTCGTTATATGCTTGTCTTGTGACTGTATTGTCGAACGTTCCCAATGAGGAGCTGGTATGCTTTACAACCGAATTGATTTTTAGATTTAGCCTTATGATTGATTGTGTTCTAATATTTAAATGGAATCGTTAGGTGGGGAAACGAATAGGAATGTTTTCGTATGGATCCGGTCTTTCGTCAACCCTCTTCTCGTTTAGGATTGTTAAACCCGTCACCGAGATCTGTAAGATGTTGGATATATCGAATCGTCTTGAATCTCGCGTCGAAGTGACTCCGGCGCAGTTTGTGGAAACGCTGCGCCTGCGGGAAAAGACTAACGGTAAAAAGGATTTCAATGTTGTGGGTGATGGAAGCTCGGTCGAAGAAGCATTCTTTGAAGGAACTTACTACTTGGACCGCATCGATTCGAAATGGAGACGTACATACAAACGTCATACCAAACGAGCCAGATAACTTTCTTTTAAATATAGACAGAGAGATGTTAATTTGTTAATAAAGATTTTTATTATCATTGTCAACTGGTTTTATGTAGTATGATGCCGCTCATCGCGAGGTAATCTTCGCGGAGGCACTAATAACGCGTCATGGGCTTGCGTCGACAAATGTGAGAAATTGGTAAAAGTGATGATACCAAATTTCCTTGGATAATTTCATTAAGTTCACATAACGAAAAATTTGAAACCAAATTTTCTCGGATAATTTCATAAATTCACATGTCGAAATAATTTCTCAGACAATTTCATGAATTCACATTTTCTCGGATAATTTCATACAACCACATATCGAAACGATTGAGACTACCACAATTTCATTTACTATTGTCGACTATTAAATTAAATTATCGGAATCATTTATTATACATAAATCTTATCCTCCAGGGAATATTTTTTTCTTAAAAAAGAAGAGAGAAATGGTAATTAAGAAATTTATATATACTATTTTTTACAGGTTTTTCGTCGCTGACGAAAGGAATAAATAAATGGCTTATGAAATGGTGCACATCTTTCTTTTCTTCAAAAATTCTTCACCACCTTCCAATATCACAAATCTTACTCCCCCAATACAACGGTCCTTCGTCTGTTCCTCAACCGACATTAGCAACATCGTCGCCTTGACGCTAACTTCATTTAATGTGCCCAATATTGTTTGCGTACTCCCATCCTCTTTCAGTTCATTCTTGCCAACAAATTTGGCCCGAATGGATTTACTTTTATTTTTCCCTGTGATTGGAATTTCCCAACACCCATTAGTCTCCTTGCACTCGTCAGTCGGGGCTTTCAATTGACTGCGTGTGACGAAAAATGATCGTAGAAATGGATGTTCTTTATCGGTCTCCGAGTCGAACACATAGATTCGAGAATCGTGATTTTCCGTTGGACAATCCCAGTTGGTATACACTAGCGGTTCGTTGATTGCGTTATCTCGAAGCACTCCATCACGAAGCTTAAACCCCCATAGTTTCGAACCGTTGGGACCTACGGTGTTGGGGGATTGGGAAAGATCGACGGAGAAGGTGGCCATAAGGGTCGAGGTGTCAAACTTGCTAAACGTTAGGTCGAAGACGTTATGTACTGGCACGAAATCTAGGAGATATCTTGTCATCAGAACCTTTAATTGGAGGTGCAAAGAAAAAGGTGCAAAGAAAAAGGTGTAGAAGAGAATGTGAAATTAGAACTCGGGGTAGAACGAAATAAATCATTTGATCTTTTACATTTAGCTAAAAAAAAAAATGGTTACCAGCAATCTCCTGTGTGGATTCCAAAAAGTGTTGTTGAATCTTGCAATCAAAATCTTCCTTATTTCGCAATCGATGGCCTTTGAGAGAGTCATGAATTTGCAAAGTTGTCTTGTTGGCACGTGCGTGAATATCTCGAGGATTAATTCGGTTGGCAACGGTACCGTTTTTTTATACGTGATAGTAAAAGGATGCATCTTACCAATGAAAAAAATTAAGCGTTTTTTTTTTATTCTTTGAAAAAAAAAATTTTTTTTGAAAAAGAAAAAAGTTTTTTCTTCGTGTTGTATGTGAATGCCAATGATTTTTTTTTGTGTTAAGTTGTAAGGATCGTGGGCGTCCTTTTTATAATATAATGTCCATCACCATTTTCATCAGGAGGATTGCTTCCGATTCTTCTAGCAGAAACAATCAGAAACGCGAATTATAATAGTTAACAATTGCTTTTTAATTACATATGTTTGCGTACTGCATATCACCTTTTGATGCGTCAAGTCGCACACACTCACCTGCATAAGAATAATAATAACACACAAACTTATATGACCGAAATAAGAGATTGTGATAGAATTATTGAGAACATGAATTTTTTTAAAAAAAAAAAAAGGGACCGATGAAACCCAAAACAAATAATCATCACAATGACACGAAAGCCCACTGTTTCATTATTGGCTTCGGCAAATCCTGATTTTTTTCTATATACATGTACACGCTTCTCGATATACTGTACATTATCGGCACTTGAATAAAATTGTTAACCCCCGAACTAGTTCGGGGGTTAATCCAAACCATAATTGTTTAGATTAAAACAGTTTTGGAAAATAATGTTCATACGTACTACTAACCTGTTTGTTGCAAGACTTTTAAGCATTGTTGCTCTACTCTATTTTTTGCCTGGTCCTAAATGAAGGAAACAAGATTCCGGCATCTCATCATTTATTCAATACCATATTTTGCTAGTATCATTACTATAAAAAGCTAAAGTGTGAATCCGGAATGAATCACGTATGGTGTAGCGAAAAAAAATTTTATTATTCTTCTCATTAATTTACTATTGTTTTTTTTTGTCCCATGGTCCAGGTAAAAAAAAAAAATTTCTGCGCTCTGTATATCATCACTCACACGCTGATATATTAACATATTTTGTGATTTTAGGAATCCGAAGTCGGTCGTAAAGGGAGAAATACGACAATATTAAACGGTATAATATTCTTTCACGAAGTATTTATTTTGTGACATTCATGCGGTTATACAAAAAAAAATAAATAATAATTTATTATTATCATCATTATTTATTATGGTTACCATTGTTTTCGTAAATTTATCATTCATCGACATCACGAAATCAATTTTTTCCTAATAGCACAGCCATCAACTTTTCTAATATTAGAAAAGCCCGAACGACATTTCATTAAAAATGCATATGTCATGTCATGTTGCATCGACCGCAGGCATTACATTAATGTCGGTTGCAAAAATGCATCTCACTCTTTTACGTCAAAGAATGTCATGTCGATCTTTGGCAAGAAGTTAGTTACATCAACCATATCGCACCGTTCTATGATCAAATGTCAAGGGGCTTTTACATTAACCCGCAAAATGTGGATCATGTGGCGGCATTCCTTGACTCAATTTTTAGATCCATCGTTCCATTGGATTCTTTATTCAATTGTCACGTTATCTTCGTCGTGGCTCACATAGGGACGCACTCTAAAGAAGAGGCATGTGTCTTCGAGGAACACACGATGATAGGTACAAGTCTGGATTCTACCAAGGCATAAGCAAATGGGAGGGTCAGGCACAAACAAACAAGAAAAAAAACCGGCAAACAATGCCATATATAAATTAACGCATTAATTGCCTGCATGTGATTATAATATTTGGGGAGAGGGAGCGAGAGATCGTTGCTATATAAATATACATAAATACGCACATAAACGGAATCCCTTTAACATAAATATTGCTTTCATTCATCGAGATGATGATATATAAAGTAAGATGATAATCTTTGAATGAATAAATATATTTATTGATCCTTTTAAAGCATGATGTCCGTCGTTTCGCTTCGTAATCACATGAAGCACCCCTAAATCATCCAAAGGACGTTCACATAGCACCTGCAGAAAGAAGCATCTATGTCGATTATCCTTTTAGGCTAGTAATTATGCAATTTGATTAGCGTTCGTCGTGTTGCCCCGTGACAGCACTCCAGTCACGCGACAAAAGCGAGAAACGCGAATATATTATTTCAATTTTTTAAAAAATTATACTCTACAAAAATGTTTCAAAATTATGCGCTTCAAAAATATGTATGTACACTGTCAGTATTTCTCTTCGATTAAAACCGTCTTGACTTGTTAAATAACGTTAGTTCCTTTTTTTTCCATTACTGCTCCTTCTTGGATTCAGCCAGATTTCCGTTAACCTTTATCGCCCCGTTGATCTTTGTGGTTCCGTTCATGAGCATAGCTTTAGGTCTCGGAAGGATGAGATCTAAAAATAACAAACTGAACACCACAATGTGTCCAATCCAATAAACCGAATTATAAGCAGTAATCCAATGTTCCAGCCTCAATAAGTCAAATGAGATCATTGCATAATGCAACGCGCAAGTCTGACCAAACCAGCAGGCCAGCTGATGCAAGGATCGCATGAATCTAATGCTTGTATTGCGTTTGTGCTGAGGAAAGTATAATGGTTTCGTGTAATTCTCAAGTCTTTTGGTCCAACGTTTCTCGGCCTCCATGTCAATAAATTCTAATCCAAAACACATGTAATAGCCGGAATGGAGTCCATGCCAAAGTGCCAGGAATACCAACGAGATCACCGAGGAGAGGTTCTTGTTTCCGAGGAAGATAAGTCGTTTAAAGATGTAAGTTTTTGTCCATAGGTTTGTGTTCGTGTTGAAGGATCCGATGATCTGCGCAAGGGACGATGCGAATTCGAATTTCCACTATTTTTTTTTAAAAAAAAAGAAAAGAAGACCATAACGTGCATTGTTAACATAACATTGTCATGATCCAATATGTATTAGTCGCGTGCATCTGTAAGATCTTACCTTATCGACGTTGGCAAGACCATTCCACTCGGCATTGCCGGATTCATCGTAACCATTAAATGAAATTCCCGAGAGAATGCAGGCACCTTCGACCAACGTCCATGTTCCAAGGTACTAGCATTTACACATGACAATGATAGAATTAGAAAAAAAGATAATTCAATCTATGAGTAACACAAAAGTACGCATTTCACATATAAAAACCTTGGTAAATGAGAATTTCCCAGCACACCACATGATTGCTAATCGTTCAATAAATGGCCTCGCAGCATACTCTTTGGTGATTAGGTAAGACGTCGGAAAGTAACCTGCACCAATTTGATAAGCTCCTAGGTACAGGGCTCCAAGCACAAGACTCTTCAACGCCGACTTATAAGATCCCGGCGGTATGTTGTTTATATCAGGATACAGAGACACTGTGAGGAACTTTTTATAAAGGTGAAAAGAGAATTGAGGGCCGGTCAAGAAAGCACCAAAGAAATAAGCATATCCTATGGTTTCGAATAGGGAAGGAAGCTGTGGCAATAGAATGTTTTTTTCGAAAGAGATTGGTTGCTTCGGCTGATGCACGATCGTGGTAACTTGAACGGGGGATTTTTCTGATAAAGGTTTTGTTGAAACATTGATATCCCTTTCGGCATTTGATGAAACGGGCGGCTTCGATTTCAAAAGTTTAGCACCATCCATGAAGTCTATCGAGAACCCGATCATCCTCAAACAAAGCACGCATTGCGTCATGGTCCAATTAACATCATATTCATCTGTTGCGGTAGAATAATATCCCCAAACGAGGTAACTTAGATTGAAGACGAACGATGCGATGGCAGATATTTTTCGATTCCCAATGATATCACCGAAATAACAAAGGAACCATGTCGCAACCGTGGCTATCAAGGAATGCTTGATGTCTGACCTATTGTAGAAATAAGAAAGCCCCAGACCGGTGACTACAACATAAATGTTACGGATAAAAGGTGCCCATTTTGTTTTCAAAGGACGAAGAAGAGTAAAGCGATACAACAAAGCTATTGGATATGAAGTAAATATTGTGAATAGTAAGCGAAGTATTGCTTCGGGTATACCGGTGGCTGCACTAAGACTATCAAGAAACATCGTTATCTGTTGACTTTTCGATATACGTGTATATGCTTTATGTGGTTTGCGCGATTTACCAAAAACCTCAAACTCTTTATATATTTGTCCAAGGAAAAAAAAAAAAAAAAAACAATATTACAAAATGAGATTATTTCCTAATAAGTAACTTTTGATTGGACGATTCAATCTACATACATTTCATAGGTGCGTAATATCAAAAATTACCAATCTTGCATGTTACATCCCACGCGCATATTACGTACTAAAACCTTCATCATTGTTTCTTCCTAGAAATAATAAGATGGGTGTCGCTAATATTCTTTGTTTATATTGTGTCGTTCTTATTGAACAAGATGAAGAAAACACGATTCGATTCACACTAACCTAGCATTATATGTGACCTGCCGATTATTGTTCGATATGAACACAGAATGTGAGAGTAACACAAACACTTCCTTGTTTGGCAGTCTAGATAATCAAAACTCGTTATGTTTTCATATATGGAAAGTGTTCTTGGGAGAAAAGTCAATTTGTAAACGCTGGGCATTTTTTAATTCCACACACCTTCCCATTAGGTCTTCTTCTTTCTTTCCCAAAAGCATGGACAAAGAGTAAATCATACTGTAATGTAGATATGTATTGTCGCATTATAACCACAATGTCTACGAATGATCATTCAATCAGAAAAATAATTTGATAGTAATCACAAGACAATGGACACGTGCATGCGTGCAACGATTGACTTCAAATTAGATTTAAATTGTCATTCAAATTGTTGATTAATACACAATTGATTCCTTTGCCGATAATAGATCCCCGTTACAGAAAACAAGAGGCATACAAGAATCTTTCGGTTCATTGCATGATAAATCTTGTAATTTATTCTTTGTCCGTTCATTTTGATTCGTTATACTATGCCAAACTTTACAAATACGTTATGATATTGTCAAGTCTTAATTGATAAAGTAATTCAAAAAGTAAATACTGTAAATAAATGAATAACCATTTTAGAAATGTCATTGCTGTCATCTTCAAACAATTTTATTGAAATTAAAAAATTGTCATGTAAAATTGATCTTTTAAACACAATCTAGGTATTTACAGTATATAGTAAATAAGATTAATTAATATATTGTATAGTATATACAGTATAGTATGGGACAAAAGTAATGATTCTTATTATAATTGATCTATTAAATAAAGGAAAAAAATAGTTCCTTTCATTGCAACAAACCTCTATAAATACTTACTTCAAAGATAATAAGATTTTTAAGTACTCCATAGTTGATTTTTTTTTTCCTTAAGACCTGATAGTAAAGGTGTTACTTGACTTTTCTTGATCATCAGAAGATTATAAACAAGAAGAAAGGATAGATATAATCTGTGAAGATATTCTTCAAGTTGTTTTAAAAATGATGATAAGACTTTATAAATCAAAAAATTAAAGAACTTTTGATACACATCTTTTTTATTATGTAATCAAAAAATCAATAAAACAAGTTTTTGATAATAATAAGTAATTATATTATAGAAATATTATAATTTATTAATCAATCATCAATATATGTAAGTATATTTTTATTCAAACAATATAATATATATTATAGTTAAATATTTTTAAATAAATTTAGTTAACTTGTCATAAACATAAAGTCTCTAAATTTATCTGAAAAATAATATTTTATTTTATATTAAAATTAAAAAACACTAGTCAAAAAAAAAAATTATTTGATACATTGTTACTAATATAATATTTGACAAAAATGAACAATTTGATAAAAAATAATAAATATTATAAAAATTAATATATTTATAATTTATTAACAATTTATCAAAAAATTCATTAACAATTTGTCAAATAATTCATTAACAATTCAGTAAAAATTTATTAAAAGTTTGTTATAAATTATTTATTAATAATTTGTCAAAAATTCATCAAAAATTTGTCAAATATTCATTAAAAATTCATCAACTATATATCAAAACTATTTATTAAAAATTTATTAACTATTTGTTAAAAATTCTACAACTATTTATTAAATTATTCATTAAAAGTTTATTAATCATTTATTAAAAATTTGATAACTATTCATTAACAATAAAGTAAAAAAATTAATAAACTTATGTATGAATTTTTTTGAGAGATTATATTTATAAATTATGAATAATACAAACTATAATATAAATATAATATGTTTTTTTTTTCGAGTACTCATAACCAGATTAAATTGTCAGTTTATTAATTAATTAAAAACATATATATTTTCATTCGAGCAG